CACCTAGCAGCCATATAGCTCACAAGTAGCTTACATTGGCAGACGTAACTTACAGGTGGCTTACAATGAACTTTTACCTCCCTGTAAATAGTGAGTACCTGACCCTTTTTACCCATCAACGAACGTAGAAAGGAAATTAAAGAGCTAAGTGATGGCTAACTGAAGGTAAAGAAGTCGAGATACAACAAGTCCTAAACAGGGCGTGCAAGGTAAGTAAGCAAGTTGTGGTTAAGCTAACCAAGTAAATATTATTATGCGAGTTACTGAGATACATGTGTGTTATATAAAATGTTTTATGCATTATGAAGAGTTTGGAAAGATGCGTTGGCATGTTAGTCTTGCATAAAAATGATGACATGTTTATATAGCAAGGTGTTTATTATGTAATGAAATGACAGCATATGTTTTACATATAGCTATGGAAGTTTTTATGGATGTTAAAAACAACCAAGATAATTATTCCACGGGATGTCACAACTCACAAGGAGGGATGGATAAATGGACCTTGCCAGACTGAACTCAACCCAGCCCGGACTCACCCAACTGACACACTTGCCAGACTGAACCAAGGGTATCAAAGTTTCTACTTTGTCCAGCTTTGGTCATGAATTATTGTGTTTCAGTTATCTAGGAAACAAAAGTACAGTAACTGATACCGCATGAACCTAACTAAAACCCCACAAAATGGTCTCTTATTTCCTAGTATTATAAGTCAAGTGATCAGTGGACTGCATAAAGAGAGAAACCTACAAAATAAAATAAAAGCTTTATCCAACCGATAATATTCTTTTAAGTATTTGGTATCAATGCTCGTTCACGAATATCTACTGCCACTCCAGCTAAATTCCAAGGAATGTTGGTATGAGTTAACAGCATTTCTTGGTTGATATTATTTAGCAATGCATTTGACTTGCATTGACTTCTAAACGGAGGCAACCCTAGTACATAAAGGCTCTTCAGCTTTGCAAAGTTAAGGATGGATGTCTTGCATATTTGGAATGGGGCTGGTCTGTGACCAGAGCACGAGACCTTCCAGTCACAAGGAGTAACTTCATGGATTGCTCCAATAATAAAGAAAATAGCATACATTTACTCCATTATATAGAGTGACAGAGAAAACCAGAAATTCAATATCAGTAATCTACACAAGAACTTGGGAATTCCCTATTGATCCAGATACTTTTAGGGAAACCGGATCACTTATAATGAAGAGGATGAGCTTCAAGGGAATGATTCAGAGTTCTTGCAAAGTGAAACCGTGCAGACCAATTACCAAACACGAGATAGATCTTCCAAAGAACAAGGTCGTTCTCGAATAAGCCAATTCATCTGGGACCCTGCAGATACACTTTTTTTTCCTATTCAAAGCTCAGCCCTTTGTCTTTGTGTTTTCACATTGAAAATTATTTCGCAGATGAAGAGATGTCACATAAGAAGCATAAAGAATAAGTAGAAACAAGAACCAACCTCACGAGAAAGATCAAATCTGTCCAATATAACATCAGCAGCCTTCAAAGTCCTGTCGATGTTCTCATGAGCTCTGCGTATGGCATGTGTCCTAATCTAAAAGAAACATATATAAGTAGTGCAAGTTAGCTACTCCCTCCATCACATGATAATTGCAACTTTTGGCCCAAAACATGTTTAATAGAAGCGTCCGGCTACTAGTGAAATGTCTAAAATACCCTTCAAAACAACAAAGTAGGGAATCTTACAGGTGAAATCAATAGCATTACTGATTTGTAATGATGTCAATAGGCAATTAGGTTACTAAAGTTGTACCAATAAATGAATTATAGCAATTTTTGGGGATATCCAAAAGAAAAGGGAAATTTTGCAATCGTAACCGCGACAGGGGAATGATTTACCATAAAAAACAATCATAAACCCCTAAAGCACTAATGAGGCAAAATACACAATTAAGCATTTATGGCTATGACTTTTAGCATTGATCTAATGTAATTCAAGGGAAATTTCCAATAAGTATCAGGATGTTTATCAAGATCAAACTTGGAAGTTTGAAATTAACAACCTATTAGGACTCTGAAATAGATCAAGTCCGCATATCGTAGCTCCTCCTTTTCGAATTCCAACAGAATCATACATTTGCTTAGCTTGAAAAAGTGTTGAACCCCGAATCAATAAACATGCAACCGAAATCATTTCCAGAAAAAAAATACCCAATCAAAGCAGAAACTACGTCTCGAGTTCAAACCAATAGCAGATGTGGGTTTAAATAACTAAAACGTTACCAATAAATACAGGTAGATCGATAATTAATTGAAGGACCTATTTTCCGAACTCCAACAAAAAAATGTTGAAATCACCTTGAATTTTTCCCGTATTTTATCATAATCCCAAACAATTACCGAAAGTGGGCATCGACCCAAGTTGAAGAATAGATCAAAAAACCTGAGTGGGGCGCATGGCAGTTTCAAGGGCTGAGAGACGGTGGTCAAAGGAACCCAAGATAGAAACCATGTTGTCGGTGATTGACTGACTCTTTTGTAGTGATTCTCTCATCTTCGCTGCTTTCTCGCTCAGATTATCCACCCCCATGACCCCTGCTGTTCGAACCGGAACCCCCATCTCTACCTCTCTGTATATCTTCAAGTTCTGAGAGAAGTGACGAAAATTTCAGAAGGAAATCGTTGATGGGTTTGAAGGTTAGTTGACCATTATTGATTGATTCTTGCTCTGACAGGGTGTTGATGTATGTATGTATACAAATACTGATTTTCTACGTATAAATCGGTGTTTTAGCTTTCTTGATTTGGATTTCTCTCTCAATCCCCCCCCCCCCCCCCCTAATATAGATAGAATCATCAGCACATTCACATCCATTGTGTGGGTCTAATTGGGTCCATCAATTCTCAATTAATACTCAGATTGGTCCAAAATGACAAATGGTTATTATCATTAATAAATTTATCAGAAAAACTTCAAAAGAATTAACAGTTCAATGAAAGTTGTGATAATAATCCAGCTCTAAATAATTCGTTATGATGTGTTATATCGTCTTATGGTACATTATTTTGCAAGATGTGAGTTTTTCTTATCTTTTTTTTAATATTTGACTCGAGACTTAAATAAAACTTGAAAACTAAAACCCAAATCGATAAATATTTACTCGTCATTTTTGTACGTGAAGAACCGAAAATGAATTCTTTGAAGATTGAAAAAAGTAACGAGTAAAGATTCTTGAGATTTAATCCCAATTATTACACTTTGATATCATTTTTATAAGGTCTGTATATTTGATATCAATGGTTCTTATTTCTTTTTCAGTTTTATAAATTTATATGAATTTAAATTGTGTATGTGCGTGGCGCCTCAGGACATGCCTCGATAAATGTTGTGGTTTCGCCATAACTCATAAAATGTGAGGCTTGACATCCCCACCACGTTACGACTCACGTCATCTATAACTTTGATCTCAATTGTAATTGACAATTTATGGCAAGTCATATTATAATAATTAAGATGATTATAACAAAAAGTAACTGATGTGACGGATAATATATAGTTATATAATTGTTTACTTTATGTTACAATATTAATCAAATATAAGAATTTAGGAATCATTTCATCCGTAAGTATCAAAAATAGGGGAAACATACATAGTTGCAACACATGTAGCCAATTTGGATTAAATTTTTCTACATATTACAATGATGTCAAGTGTACTTTATTATTTCATTTTTTTGAAAACTGACTTCTGTTGGCAACAGAACACGTCTAACAATGTCCAGTGTCGTATCCTTGTTCCTTATATTGGAAACTGTCAACATCCCGATTCAAGTTTATTGAGTGGAAACTCACAAGTAACATGTTGATTCTTACCATGTAGACTAGACTATACATTTGTTACTGTCGTTTTTTCTTATAGTCATCACGACGTGTTTTTTCCTTAAGTTGCGTTTATTTACAATTTGACGTCCGCCTATATGGTATAACGCTTGGTAACGTAATCGCATTCTTCAAATCAAGAATATTTTCAAAATCATTCAACATGCGTGAGCATAAAAGGAACGAAACTTTGTCGACATGTTATTAATATCATATAAGATGGTTAGTTAAACAACATGCAAACATTATACATCGACCACCTCCTCTTTCAACAAGGTTTTTCTCAATCTAGCTTCATTATTCTTGAAGATTGACGAGTTCTAGCTTACTCACGAATAGCATTCATATGGCCATTCTTCAGGCAAAGAAATCTTTGAAGAAACTGGGATATACTGTGTCGTTATCTTTCCCGGCTTCTTCCTCCTTATTTGAATTCGACTCTTCTTCTTTCCACCTGAAAATACTATCAAATATCACATCGAAGTGATCAAAACTTCACAATCATTCAAATGATCATCGTTCGAAAGTACTCATTTCATACAAAAGAACGGTATTTTAGAATCGTCTTATAAAAATGCGCTATTTTCTTTCTAAAGAATTCTTATTTCAAAAGTTTATTTCTAAATAGATTACGTTCACATGACATGTCTCAAAAGTTTATTTCAAGAGTATCATATCAATTTTATAGTAACTTTTTTAATTGTTTGATCGTATAAATCTAAGTAATATAAACAATCTATTAGGCTCTTTAAAATATTTGATGTCTTACAAGATCGATTTAGTTGTAAGAATATGGTTGTAACGTTGATTTTTTATCTACATTTTTTTTATTATATCGTCTTATTAAGATAGTGATAGACCTATGTAAAAACCCGAATCGAATATGCCCATTAAAAAAAAACTTCATATGCAATTACGTTCGATAAAAGAATTACTGTATTTAGTGCGTACCAAAATAATACTACATCTATTATGTTATTACATAATCAAGTCAAAACTTGTCACTATTTAATTATCTGAATTTATTTACTACAAATTTATTTTTTTAGTACAAAAAATTGTTTTCCTAGTTCTATTATGTTTATGTATGGTAGGAATATCTAATTATGGACCACTGACAAAGGTTAGTGTATGTATATATATATATATATGCTTTAGAAGCAAGAGAACAATTACAAACCTCTCTTCTTTGGAAAATCATAGGAAGCATTTGCAATGAAGACACCAGTTCCCTTTGAAAGTTTAGGGATTCCCACTTTCATAGCATTAGGAATAAACACACCAGTCCCTTTGCAATCCTCATGTTCATCCCAAACATGATTCTCGATATTTGAAACAATGTCTCCTAACTTTTCGTCCAGAATTTGCTCCTGTGCCATTGCAACATCAGTAAAGGACTAACGATGCAAAAACCCTAAATAACTGTAAGAAAGTTTTCATTTAAAAATCCGTTTCTTGAACCAATAGGTATCTTAAATCGGTGGTCACAAATAGTAGAACAGTGAATTGTATCGAGGAACAACTCGATTTTTAATTAATGCCCACTAGATTTGGTCTTTTTGACATGAAATTATGAGCCCTAGTTTTTCTAAAGCGCCAAGAAATCATGTTTGAAGTCGTAATTATCCGAGTTGTATAATGGTTGTTCAATGAATGATACATAAATGTTAGATTTAAAGCCAAGACATTTAGATCTAAATAAGTTCAAATGACTTAACAAATTCGATAATACAAGAAATAATGAACTAAGTCTACCTGATTTTTGAGAAATTGCACTGGTTTCTTGAAATAAGGTCCTGCTGAAGTTGCCATGCTTCCAATTGTTTCGGCATCAACCATATCCTGAATTAGTAAGGGCACCAATCAAAAACATATGATGTAAAAATAACTTATTTCCCAACCAAACATATATACTATTGAATTAATATAAGTATTTACATATCATAGATGGAAGAAAACCCTATATGAACTTAAAGGGTACTTTAAGAACCCTAATACCGACAATTAAATTAACCTTGCACTGATTCATTGCCAGTTATATGCGGAAACAGATAACTGTTATCGATAACAATGACTCCATTTTCAAGATCACTAGATTTCATCATTTTTGTACAAAAAATCTTGGATTTTTAACAACAAAAGAACAATCACTGTCAAAATTCTTCAAAATCAAGAGAAATTTTAATGGCTTGTCTATAAAGATCGTATTTTTATGACGAAAATCTATCTTTCAGAAAAACGTATGAGTTAAAAGACTTACCATGGTTACCATATGCTCGGGCTCCTCCAAGACAAGGGCGGCACATTCTCTAGAGAGTTCATCAATACAAGCATCAAGCTCCACTTCACTAAGCACGACTTCACAAGGTGGAAAAACATTCGCCATTCTTAAAGACATCAAGCACCTAATGAAAGCAACAAGCAAAGAGCATTTACTTGTATGATCTCAAGAAGGCTTATATATATATATATATATATATATATATATATATCATACAATTACCATATGTATAAATTAAATTGACCAATGAGCATTTACTACCAAATGGCATCATTTACTATTCTTAAAAATAAATGAAATATATTTCTTTTTTCATCAATTATTATTTTAAAATATCGACTTTTCTAGAAGAAGAAAAAAAACCATGGGTGTCCCGACAACTTATGCACATATCGACTAATTATGTTGGTTTTAAGGGGACTTAAACGAATGACTATCGGAAGCAAGACCATGGTCTTACAACATTGACTCTTGTTCATAATATTTTATGTTTATTTTATATCTAATAATATATAATACCCTTTATTTTTAAATATATAATTAATAATTTACGTATAAAAAACAATTATTATAAATACTAAGATATAACAAAATCTATAATCTAACATCAAATACTTTTATAGCAATATTAATATTACAAGAACAATATATATGTTAATAGATATGATTTTTGAATTTGAATTTGAATTTTATATCCATTACTGTATATTTTTTACAAGGTAATCGTCATTATTGTTCGATTTCTCTAAATACACTCGATTGGGATCATTTAATTATGAGCAAATTTAATCGGAATTTGGAAATTTATGATTTTTATAAAATATGATTGATTATAAAAAATGAATAAATAAATAAAATTCCTTTTCTGGTTTTAACAATATTTTATAATTTTAGCCAATTTATTAAATTTACTTTTATTGGTTCGTCTTTTTAATAATATAATTAATATAAA